TGTTTCTCTGCTATTCATAAGGTTTTCCCTGGCCAATTCTTTGAGAAGTGGATGGCCTTTTCCTTCTTCCTAGTCTGTCTCAGTCTGAAAGCCACACTGATACCTGTGCACCATGTGCATCCCGCTGGGGGCACAGCCTCAAGACTCACAGCAACACATCAACGCAGCAGGACAGACCAACAGACAAGTTTGTCTCCCTTAGCAGATGAACAGACAATTGAAAATGTGGTCCAGAGATACAATGGAATACCAGTCGTCCAGCAGAAGGAATGAAGTCTTCTTGATGCATGCTGCAGGATGGATGGAGCTTGAAGACATTATGCTGAGTGAAATGAGGCAATCACAAAAGGATCAATATTGTATGAACTCAGTTGCATACAAAAACAATATGCAAATGTATACAGACCCAAGTTTATTATCATTGGTTACCAGTGGTGAGAGGAAGGGGGAAAGGGCATTAACAGTGATGGAAAAATCTCATTGCTGTGGGTTGGGTAGTACAGCCCACCACTGTGACTGCCATCAATGAGTTGTACACCTGTGAAAAGTTGAACTGACAGAAGTTTATGATAGATAATGTTACAACAATGAGAAAAAAGCAAAGCATGAAAAAGAGTAGCTACTGAGTCTGCTTATGTACCGTCAAACACCTCATGGGCTTTGGGTCCTTGGTTTGGAGGTTAGGGTCATGATTTCATGGGATAGCCCAGTTCACCAGCCTAATAATCTGTTTAGTGCTTCTGTTCTACTTCCCAGTTCTTTCCATACTGCCTGGGGTCATAAAAGCTTAAAGCAGCCATTCCAGGCAAGACAATTTGTCTCTATTCACCTAGAGCAAGAGAGGAAGAAGGAGCGTCAGGAATATAAGGTGGATATTGACTGTGTGGCTGATTGCCTCTATGAACAAATGCCTCCTTTGCCATGAGACCCAAAGTGGATAGAGCCTGGCTACCATTACTGAGGGAGCTCTGGTAGCATGGTGGCTAAGGCACTTGACTGCTAACCAGAAGGCTGGCAGTTCAAATCCACCATCCACTCCTTGGAAAGAAGATGGGGCAATCTACTTCCGTAGTGATACTGCCTCAGAAACCCAAGGAGGGGTCGCTATGAGTCGGGTTTGACTCGACGGCACATAACAACAACCATTACTGAACATTTTGATCAAAGATTCCAGAGATGAGTGCTGATCAAAAGGGGGGAAATGCAGAAAATAATTTCAAATTCTCATGGACTCTAGACTTTCTGGAGCCATAGGGGCTTGATGAACTCCTGAAACTATTACTCTGAGATAATCTTTAAAACTTAAACCAAAAATATTCCTTGAAGTGTTCTTAAAACCAAACAATAGCTTAGCTCAACTAGTAAAAATGTCTTCTTTGAGTTCTTTTTATTTATTTGGGATCAAACGGACAACAGCAACTGGAAAGATTAGATAGGAACCTTAGGGGGTAGTGAGTTCATGTCAGAAAAGAGGGTGAGAATAGCTGCACAACTTGAAGAATTAATCCATTTCCCCAAATTGTACCTGTGGATGCTGTTGAATTGGTGTATGTTTGGCTGTGGATATTCTCAACAACAACACAAATAAAATTTAAAAAGAAAAAAGTGACATTTAAATAACGACTATGACTAGTGGCTACTCTGAGATAGCACAGGTCTAGGCCAAGGATTTGCAAACTTTTAGCCCTTTAATGAGTATCTGACAAACACTTAGCACATGCCAGACCCTGTGCTGGTCCTGGGGAAACAGATGTCAACAAATCCTCACCATCTCTGCCCTTGTGGACTTGTGCTCTAGAGGAGGAGAAAGATAACACAGTACGCAAGAAGCAGACACGATGGTGGGAGGAAATAACCAGGTTTCTGTGAAGCAGAGTAACAGAGGAAACCTACTGAGAGTCAGGGAAGGCATCTTCAAGCAGGTGATGTTTATGGTGAGCCCTCAAGATGAGAAAGGTGCCAGTCTTACAAACAGCAGGAGTAAGGGAACAGCAGTGGGAGCAGGAGGTTCAAAGGCCCTGAGGCAGCAAGGCTGTTAATTGTCCAGGGACAGAGAAGGACTGGAGCTCAGGGGGCAGTGAGAGCAGAGGGAGAGTGAGCCTCTGGATTCGATTCTAAGTTCCCAGATGGGTTCTTCTGTCTGGTGCTTAGTGTCCATATTCTAATGCTTTGTTTTCTTTTCTGTTTAGTACATGGGCTGCATTGAAGTCCTCCGTTCCATGCGCTCCCTGGATTTTAACACTCGCACCCAGGTTACCAGGTGAGCCTCTGAGTTGTGGGTGTGGGAGGGATGGACTGCTGGGAGTTCAAGGCGCAGTTCTGCCAGGCGAGTAAGGCTAATGTGAGGTTTTGCAAGGGGTGGCAGAAGTGGGATCCAACAGTGGTCAGAATCCAATGATGCCTGACTCAGTGACAACTCCTTTCCCAGTTTAGGGAGTGGTGCTACCCAAGGTTAAAAGAGACCCAAGGCTAGCGGACAGTGCCTGAGTCTTGGCTCAGTCCCTGTCTACTCTCCAGACCTTGGGTTTTCCAGCAAATTGGGGTAAGAGCTTGGCCCTTGCAGGATATGGAACAGATGACATGACAGGTGTTTGTGAACAGTCCAGAACATGTCCTGGGGACTGGGAGCTGCAGGATGTCCCTTCTTGTGGCTCACATTAGGGCTTGGTGGGACCTGGGAGCCCCAGCAGACAGGGGCAGCATCTCCCTTGTCCTCCCTTGTCTTTGGCCTGGAGAAGGGACGTTGTCCTCACGGTGCTTGGAGCTGCCTGGATCAGGTCACACAGCTGTGGACAACCATGGTTTAGAGGAAGGACCAGCATTGTTTTCTATAAATAAAATGGATTTATCCCGTTCAGTATAAAACTAAAAAAAAAAAAAAAGAAAAAAGAAGAACCTCACTGTTGTTGAGTCGATTTGACTCATAGCAATCCCTCTTTGGTTCTAAGATCATATCTCTACAGAAATAGATTGCCCAATCTTCCTTCTGAGGAGTGGCTGATGGGTTTGAATCACCAGCCTTCTGGTTAGCAGTCAAGTATCTTAGGCACTACGCAGAAACAGCTATTTGAGATATAATTCATAAGCCATACAAGTCACTCATTTAAAGTGTACAATTCAGTGGTTTATAGTACCTTCACAGAGTTGTGCAACCAACACCTCCATCCCTAGTTCCAGAACGATGTCATTCCCCAAAGGAAACCCCATACCCACTGCCTGCCATTGTCCATTCCTCTCCCTCAGCCCCTGGGCCCCCTCTGCTCTGTCTCTGGATTTGCTCTTCCGGATACTTCCCGAGGCAGGATGACACTCCGCGGCCTCCACGGCTTCTTTTACTAAGCAGGGTGTTCTGAGGGTCCGCCTGTGTGGCAGCTCTCACCAGTGTCTACCCTTTCTACGGCTCATAGTTCCCATCGTGTGGACGGCCCACGTTCTGTGTATCCATCTGTCCACTGGTGAACATTTGTTACCCCCACTTCTGGCGATGATCAATAGTCCCACTATGAACACGTGTGCACAAGTTTCTGTGGGCATGTTTCCATTTCTCTTGAGTACATACCCAGGAGGAGCTCTGCTGGCACAGTGGGTGAAGCACTTGGCTGCTAACCAAAAGGTTGTGGTTCGAATCCGCCCATTACTCCCTGGGAGAAAGATGAGGCAGTCTGCTTCTGTAAAGATTTACAGCCTTGGAAATCCTGTGAGGCAGTTCCATTCTGTCCTGTTGGGCTGCTATGAATGCAAATCAACTGGATGGCCATGATTTTTTTCGGTATGGTGATTGTAGGAGTCCCTGGAGAGTGCACATGGTTGCTAACTGAAAGGTCAGAGGTTCACATTCACCTGGCGATGGTTCAGAGGCAAGGCTGGGTGATCTCCTTGCAGAAAGTTAGCCATTGACCGCGTGTGGAGCATGGGGATACTCGGATACACGTGGGTCACCACAGAGAATCGGCTTGACCGCAACTGGTTTTATAGACACCGGTGCTGACCACCGGACTGTTGTGCTGTTGGTAGGTGCCGTTAGTCAGCTCCGACTCACAGCGACCCCGGGTGCAACAGAACAAAACCATGCCCGGTCCTGTGCCATGCTCACAGTCCTTGCTGTACCTGAGCCCGTCATTGCAGCCACTGTGTCACCATCTCATTGAGGGCCTTCCCCTTTTTATCTAACCCTCTGCCTTACCAAGCATGATCTGTTCCAAGGACTGGGCCCTCTGACCACATGACCAAAGTAGGTGAGATGAAGTCTGGCCATTCTCGCTTCCCAGGAGCGTTTGGCTGCACTTCCTCCAGGAGAGATGTGTTAGTTCTTCTGGCGGGCCACGGTACTTTCATTACTCTTCGCCAGCACCACAACTCAAAGGCATCAACTCCTTAATATTCCTTATTCAGTGTCCAGCCTTCACATGCACTATCAGGCGATTGAAAACACCACGGCTGGGGTCAGGCGCACCTTAGACTTTAAAGCGACATCTTTGCTCTTCAGCACTTGAAAGAAGTCTTTTGCAGCAGATTTGCCCAGCGCAATATGTTGTCTGATTTCTTGACCGCTGCTTCCATGGGTGTTGACTGTGGATCCAAGTGATAGGAAATCTTTGACAACTTCCATCTTTTCTCCACTTATCGTGATGCTGCTGTTGTGACCATTGAGCTCTGTGAACTTGCTTCCTCGTCTGTGGAGAAGCAGGGAGGGCCCTGCATGGGTGGGGCTTGGCGAGCCGTGCAGCGTCTGGTCGCTGGAACCTGTGCTCTGAGTGCACGGTGCTCTTGTCCAGTTGTGAGGTTTTGTTTTCTTTCTGTTGAGCTGGAGTCCATACTGAAGGCTGTGGTTAGATTAGGACCCACCTTACTTCAGTACGATGGAATTTTAATCAAACTAACTATATCTGCAAAGTTCCTACCTCTAAACAAGGTCACATTTGCAGGTGCTAAGAGGTAGGGATTCAACAGATCTTTTTTTTTTTTGGGCTGAACCCATAGTTGTTGTTATGGGCGGTCGAGTCAGATCCGATTCATAGCGACCCCTCCTTGGGTTTCCAAGGCAGTGTCACTACGGAAGTAGATTGCCCCGTCTTCCTTCCGAGGAGTGGCTGGTGAATTTGAACCGCCAGCTTTCTGGTTAGCAGTCAAGTGCCTTAGGCACTACGCCACCAGAGCTCCCGAACCCATGGTAGTAGCTCCTTTTCTCAAGCTCTGGTAGAGCAGAGGTTAAGGCATTTGGCTGCTAACCAAAATGTTAGTAGTTCAAACCCTCCAGGCGCTCACTGAAAGAAAGATGAGGCAGTCTGCTACTGCAAAGATTACAGCCTTGGAAACCCAACGTGGGTGGCTATGAGTTGGAATCAGTTCGATGGCAGTGGGAGTTGAGTGAGCCCCTTGGCCCTTCTCTGGATATCCCTGTGCTCCTTCTCAACCCCATGGCACTCTCTCTTCCCTGCTGTTCCCTCTGCCCTAACCCTTCTCTTACCCCTCATCCTCTCTGAACTCCCCCCCGCCCCCCGTGACTCCTTCCATCTTCTCTGAGTTCTCATGACCTCTGGGTTCCCCACCTCTAAGGCCCCTGCCCTCCACAGCCCTTCCCTGGCTTGTCCCCTTGGAGCTCTCTGACCCCTGCTCCCTCTCTGATGCAGGGAAGCCATCAATCGCCTGCATGAGGCTGTGCCCGGTGTCCGGGGCTCCTGGAAGAAGAAGGTGGGTGAGGGCGAGTGGCTGGGCGTGTGGTTGGTGGGCTGCGTTGTAGGCAGGTGGCCCTTGCCCCAGCCTCGCCAGTGCTCAAGCCCGCATCCCACGCTGTAGTCGGCTTTGTTCCCTACCCTCCAGGCCCCCAACAAGGCTCTGGCCTCCATCCTGGGCAAGAGCAACTTGCGCTTTGCCGGCATGAGCATCGCAGTCAACATCTCCATTGATGGGCTCAACCTCTCGGTGCCCGCCACACGCCAGGTGAGGCCGGCCTTCCCCGGGCTCCGCCCCACCTCCGGGCCCCGCCCCTCCGTGGCCCCGCCCCACCTCCGGGCCCCGCCCCTCCTGGGGCCGGGGGTGGGTGGGTGGGGGGCTTCCCCTCCCCGGCCCCCTGTCTCAGGCCCATCTGAGCCCCCCCCCCCACTTTGGGAGGCTGGAACCTGTGAGAAAGGCGGAGCCTCGGCCCGCGTTGCAGTGGCAGGGCTGGGTCTTCAGTGCTGGTCCGGGCAGGCAAAAGCAGAGACTTGAGGGTCCCCTGTGCGGGGGCGGAGGCGAGGACGCTCCCTGGGGGACACAGGGCGGAGGCACCTGGCGCAGGGTTCGGTCCAGCCTGGCCCAGGACCTGCGAGCTTGTAAACAGGCGGGGTGGGTACGGAGGTGGGGCCATGCAAACAAGCATGCAAATGAACATGCATGTAAGCTCACTGAAGGGGGAGTCGACTGCTGGGCGGTAGTGAGTAGTCCGGGTCTTCTACTCACAGTTCTGCAGGCCCGTTGGCTGCTTGGGGAGGTGTGAGAGCGTGTGTCTGCATGAGAGGGCCAGCCCCTTCAGCCTCTGCGTTACTGAGGCTGGGTGTGAGTGTGTGTGTGTGTGGTTGTGTGAGGATCTTGCTGCCTGAGTGTGGGTGACTGGGCAGGCCCTGGAAGGTGAGAACGGTTCACAGGCTCGGCTGCTAAGGGGAAGAATGGAGGTTGGAGGCCACCAGAGGTGCTCGGAGGAGAGGCCTGGTGATCTGTCCCCAGAGAATCAGCCCCCGCACGCCCTGCGGAGCTTGGTTCGGCCCCGACATGTGGAGTCCCTGTGAGTGCGGTCAGCTTGGTGGCGGCGGACTGTGGACCGGTTGTAGGGAGGGTACAGATTGGTGTGTCCGTGTGCCAGAGGTGCTGTGTGTCTGTGTGCTTGCGTATGAGGGTGTCTGCCTGTGAGGGTGCTTCGTCTACTCACATCTACTGTATGACCTTGGCCTTGTCCCTACTGGGGGAGCACAGGCAGGGTCTGAGCCCAGCTGGACTCTCAGTCGTCCTGGTGGATCCCGGACCTACCTGCACTTGTGACATCCCTGGCCTGCCCCACCCCGGTGCCCCTGCCCCTGCCCCCTGTGCACCTGCCCAGCTGCGGGGGCCCCCAGGCCCCAGGCCTATGACCATGTGTGTCTCCGTGTCTTCACACACAGACCATCGCTAGCCACCACATGCAGTCCATCTCCTTTGCATCCGGTGGTGACACGGTAAGGCCAGGGTGGTGGGTGGTGGGACTGCCAGCCCTGAGACCCACTCGCCTGGAGTCTGCTCAGCCCTTTCTCCGCTGCGTGGCTTGGGTGGGCGATCGGGAGGTCATGGATGGGACGGCCTGAACGGGCCCTGCTGGCTCCTGTCTCCCAGGACATGACGGATTACGTGGCCTACGTTGCTAAGGACCCCATCAACCAGAGAGGTGAGGCTGCCGTGGGAGGCCGGGTGGGCGCCTGGGGCTGGCAGCCCTGCTGACACTGTGTGATGAATGTCCACAGCTTGTCACATCCTGGAGTGTTGCGGCGGCCTCGCTCAGAGCGTCATCAGCACTGTGGGCCAGGCTTTTGAGCTGCGTTTCAAGCAGTACCTGCACAGCCCCCCCAAGGTGGTCGTGCCCCCGGAGAGGTGAGCTCACACCCTACCCATCCTGGGCCTGTCAGGCCCGCCTGGCTCTCTCCTCCACGCCTGGGTTGGAATTTCAGCTTTGTGCCCTCTCTCCATGGGTCCCTGGGCTCATCACTCAATCGGTTTCCTCATCTGTGCAACCATGAAATGCCAGGCCCTGCCTGCTGGGGTGCAGGTGAGCGCCCAGTGCCCAGCTCCTGTAAGCTCGCGCCTGCCTCCCGCGGAGTCTGCAGCTGCCGCCACTGTGTCCTCAGCCTCCACCGGGCACCGGGTCACGAAGAGCCAAACGATAGATCCCGTCAGCTCTGCGAACCAGACTCTGTCACAGGCTCAGCAAAAGACCGCCCAGATGCTGCCCAGGCGAGCGAGAGCGGCCCCGGCCAACACGCCTTTATTGATAGACACTGAAATTTCATAGAACTGTCAGATGTGGCCAAATGTGTTTGGATGTTTTCCCAACCACCCCAAAGGGTTAGGGTTTAAAAGTGTACCGGCGCTCTGCCGCCCCTGCTCCCGACCACTGTATTATTAACCATTGCATGTACGAGACACACCCCTGTGATGCAAAGGCGAGCTGCACATGACAGAATTGCCCGCCACGTGTGCCGTTTCTCAAGTCCCAGGACTGGCAGACTGTTCCCACCGGCAGCTGCCTGCCTTCTCTCAGCTGAGCTGTGCTCCGCCGTGTGCCCAACCGTAATCTCTGTGTCCAGCTCCCAGCTGACGGGGCAGGTTGCTCCCACTGTTCCATCGGCTCCCCACTGCACGGGGGCCTGCTGGGTAGGTTGCTGGTGGGGTTCCAGCGGCCCCGCGAGGTCCGGGCTCTGGGACACAGCTCAGGCTCCAGCCGTGGCCAGGACGGGAAGGGCAGACGCCAGCCTTTGAGAGGACCTGCAGCGGTCTGTACCACAGCCCTGAGCGGCGTTGTGTTTCCTGCTGAGCCCCGGGCTCTGGGACAGGAAGGCTGGGGTTTGAACCCAGTTTTCCTTCCCAGAGTCCCCTTGGGTCTGGCTCGATCCGCTGCATGAAGCTTTGCCTCAGGCGGCTCTGCAGTGTGTTCTGCTCCCGTGAGCCCTTCCTGGGCTCCACACATGGCTGTCTGTCGCTCCCTCCCCCCACCAGGCTGACCGGGCTAGAGGACTCGGCCTGGGGGGATGAGGAGGCCCTGGAGCACAATTACTACAACAGCGTCCCCGGGAAGGAGCCGCCCCTGGGAGGGCTGGTGGACTCGAGGCTGGCTCTGCCGCAGCCCTGCGCTCGGAACACCCTGGGCCAGGTCAGTTCCCCGACGCTGGGGGCGCAGGGGCTGCATCAGGGGCTGGCCTTTCAGGTTACTCTGGCTCTTCTGTGCCTGTCATTCCTCTCAGCCCAGAGGGTCTCGTGTTGCCCCATCCATCCATCCACCTGGGCGTCCGTCCATCCACCTTCCCATCCATCCATCCGTCCGTCCATCCATCCATCCATCCACCTGCCCATCCATCCATCCGTCCACCTGCCCATCCATCCACCCACCCGCCCATCCCCCCCACTCACCCCCCCACCTATCCATCCACCATCCACGCATCTGCTGTCTGCCCCCACCCACCCAGCCACCCTCTCATCCACCCATCTGCCCACACTCCCACTGAACATCAGTCCATTCACCAACACACCCGCCACCCAGCCACCCTCTCATCCTTCCATCCGCCCACAAAGGTGGCACAGGTTGGTGCTGGCTCTCTGCTTGGCCTCCTGCCAGATCAGACCTTTTAGACTGCATGAGCTTTTCAGCAGTGATTCTCACCTTAGACACTGAGTAAACCATTAAAGTCACACCTGGTTGGGAGGTGATGAGTCTCAAGGAGGGTCAAGGGCCACATGCAGGACAGTGATTTTGTTGGGTGGTCAGGAGGGCTTCCCTGGGGAGGCATTGTTTGGGATGGCTCTCGATGGGTGAACAGAAGTTGCCCCGGAGAGGAGGGTGGGAAAGGGCATCCAGGCAGAGGGAACAGTGTGTGCGAAGTGGCAGGAGGGTGGGGACCGTCTTCTGGAGGGAGAGGAGCAGTGAGGACCTGGGAGCCGGGGAGGGCCGAGGGCTGAGCTCCTGTCTGTCTCCATGTCTCCAGACATGCAGGAGGTGCAGGTGGGAGACTGGGGTGCTGGGCTGGGGAAGAAGAGTTTGCACATCCCAAGGGGTCCCCACACTCCTCTTGTTCAGGGCACATCTCCTCCTCGAAGAGACGCCCGCGGCCTGCTGTGGGACCTGGGACCCTCAGGTTCAGGTAGGCTGTTCCCTGCTATCCTGGCCCCAGCTGCCCACTGCCCTCCCCTCTGTGTCCTTTCACCCTCCCCCCACAGGATGACTGTATTTGCACTTTTGAAGATAGATCATCTGTTTCCATGGTTCAAACCACAGAGTCCAAACAGGCACTCAGTAAACATGCCTTTCTCATCCCTGTGCCCGTCCGCCACACACATCCCTGCACAAGCCACCAGTTAGCGACTAGAGGTTTCCCAGTTCTTTTCCAGTTTCCCAGCACAGTCAAGCTAATGTCAAGATACGGTAACATACCCCATTTTCACACAGACGTGGTGTGCTGTGCACCCTCCACCTTGGGGCTCCTGCACTTGGCCATCCATCTTGACGTCCCTCCCCCATCAGAACACGCCAGAGTCCCCCACCTTTACCACCCGCTATGTGGAGGCCCATAACCTGCCCTCCCCGACTTGTGCACATGTGGGTGGTTTCCAGGTGTTTGCATGACAGATGACGGTGCCAGAAGTTGGGGATGTCCTGATCTGGTGCCCGGACTTCAGTGGGCGCCTGCCCAGGATGTCCCTACTCGTTCCATGGTGGGGGGACCCTCCGAGGCCCATCCTCCACCTGCCTCTTTTGTTTTAACAGAACAATTGAGTTTCACATCCAGGAGCTTAACGTTACATTGTTGTTGTCGTTAGGTGGCTTGGACTGGAGATGCGTCGGGTCTCCGTGTTACACACGGTTACACAGCGTACACAGTGTTATACAGAGTTAAAAACAGCAGTGTGTTGTGTGCCACTGAGTTGATTCAGACTCACGGGATAAGGTAGCACTGCCCCACAGGGTTTCCTGGGCTATAATCTTTATGGGAGGAGCTCAGGTGGTAGAGTGGTTAAGGCATTCAGCTCCTAACCAAAAGGTTGGCTGGTCGAACCCACCAGCCACTCTCTGGGAGAAAGATGAGGCAGTGTGCTTCAGTAAAGATTGATAGCCCTGGAAACCCTATGGGGCAGTTGGACTCTGTTCTGTTGGGCTGCTGTGAGTCAGAATGGACCCCATGGCAGTGGTGGATAACCCACACAGGAGCACATTGCAAAGTTCTTTTCGGCAGAGCAGCTGGTGGGTTTGAACCTCCAACCCTCTTGTTAGCAGACAAGTGCTTAATCACAGCACGGCTGTTGTGATTAGGTGCTGTCCCATCATCTCTGACTCAGCATGACCCCCCGTGTACAACGTACAGCAGAACGAAACACTGCCTGGACCTATGCCAGCCTCACGATCCTTGCTCTACCCAAGCCCATGGTTACCGCCACTGTGTCAGCCCATGTTGTTGAGGGCCTTCCCCTCTTTCGCCGACCCTCCACCCTACCAAGCATGAGGTTCTTCTTCAGGGACTGGCCCCTTCTGACAGCATGACCAAAGGAGGTGAGACCAAGTCTGGCCATTCTCGCCTCCAAAGAGCATTCCGGTTGCACTTCCTTCAGGACAATCTGTTCGTTCTTCTGGCGGGCCGTGGTCCTTTCAGCATTCTTCACCAACACAATTCAAATGTATCAGTTCTCTTTTAGTCTTCCCTAGTCATTGTCCAGCTTTCACATGTGTGTGAGGTGCCTGAAAATACCATGGAGTGGGTTAGGGTCACCTTGGTCTTCAAGTGACACCTTTGCTCGTCAGCACTTTAAAGAGGTCTTTTGCAGCAGATCTGCCCAGGGCAGTGCACCATCTGATTTCTTGATTGCAGCTTCCATGGGCATTGATTGTGGATCCAAGTAAAGGGAAACCCCTGAAAACCTCAATCTTTCCTCCATTTGTCACAAGGTTGCTTATTGGTCCAGCTGTGAGGATTTCTGTTATTTTCATGTTGAGGTGTAATCCATACTGCCGACTGTAGTCATCAGTCTTCATCAGTAAGTGCTTCAAGTCCTCCTCACTTCCAGCAAGCAAGGTTGTGTCGTCAGCATATCACAGGTTGTTAATGAGTCTCCCTCCAGCCCTGATCCGTGTTCTTCACACAGTCCAGCTTCTCGGATTCTCTGCCCAGCATACAGATTGAATAAGTGTGGGGAAAGGATACAACCCTGGCGCACACCCCTCCCAATTTTAACCTATGCAGCTCCTTGTTCTGTTCGAACGACAGCCCCCTGGTCTATGTGTTCCTCATGAGCACAATTAAGTGTTCCCATTCTTCTCAATATTACCCATAATTTGTTATGATCCACACAGTCAAATGCCTTTGCATAGTCAATAAAACCCAGGTAAACACTTTCTGGTACTCTCTGCTGTCAGCCAAGATCCATCTGACATCAGCAATGATGTTCCACGTTCCGTGTCCTCTCCTGAATCCAGCTTGCATTTCTGGAAGTTCCCTGTCAAGATAATGCTGCAAACATTTTCAAATTGTCTTCAGTAAAAATCAACACATGTGTGATATTAATGGTATTGTTTGATAATGGCCACATTCTGTGGGACCACCTTTCTTTGGAATCGGTGTGTATGTGGATCTTCTGTAGTTGGCTGGCCAAGCAGCTGTCTTCCAAATCTCTTGGCATCAATGAGTGAGCACCTCCAAATGCTGCATCCATTTGTTGAAACATCTCAGTAAATATTCCATCAATTCCTGGCACCTCGGAAGGAAGGTTGGGCAACCTACTCTGTAGTGATACTGCCTCAGACACCCAAGGAAGGGTTGCTAGGAGTCGAAATTGAGTCGACAGCAGTGAATTTGGATTTTTTTTTTTTTTTTGGTAGTTTTCCACTGGGAGCTCTGGTGGCATAGTGTCTAAGGCACTTGACTGCTAACCAGAAGGCTGGAGGTTCAAACCCACCAGCCACTACTTGGATGGAAGGTCGGGCAATCTACTTCCATAGAGATACTGCCTCGGCGACCCGAGGAGGGCTGCTCGGAGTCGGGTCGGCTCTGCAGTGAGTTTGGCCTTGGCTTTGAGTTTTGTGCTGACCCTTCAGTGCAGCCTGGACTTCCCTTCAGGGCCATCAGTCCTTGACCCTCTGCTCCGTCCGGAAATGGTTGAACTTTTTGGTACAGTGACTGTGTATTCCTTCCATCTCCTTTTGATGCTTCCCGGATTGCTCAATCTTTTGCCCATAGAATCCTTCAGTACTGCAAATCAAGGCTTGAATTTTCCTTCAGTTCTTTCAGCTTGAGAACTGCTGAGTGTGTCCTTGCCTGTTGGTTTTCTAGCTCCAGGTCTTTGCACATTTCATTGAAACATTTTACTTTGTCTTCTCGAGGCACCCTCTCAAATCTTCCGTTCAGTTCTTTTATTTCATCATTCCTTCCATTTGCTTTAGCTACTCTCCATTGAAGACCAAGTTTCAGACTCTCTCCGACACCCATTTTCGTCCGCTCTTCCTTCCTGTCTTTGTAATGACCCTCTGCTTTCTTCACGGAGGATGTCCTTGATGTCATCCCACAACTTATCTGGTCTTCGGTCATTGGTGTCACATACATCAACTCTGTTCTTCAGATGGTCTCTAAGTTCAAGTGGGATATTGTCAAGGTCACATTTAGGTTCTCATGGGCTTGTTTTAACTGTCTTCAGCTTCAACTTGAACTTGCATATATGCAGCAGATGGTCTGTTCCCCAGTCAGCTCCTGGCCTTGTTCTGATGGTGCTGAGCTTCTCCATCGCCTCTTTCCATAAATGAAGTCTGTGTATGATTTCTGTGTGTTCCCTCTGGCGAGGTTCACATGTGCAGCCACTGTTTACATTGTTGAAAAAAGGTATCTGCAGTGAGTGAGTCATTGGTCTTGCATAATTCCATCACGCGATCTCCAGCATCGTACCGATCAGCAAGGCCGTATCTTTCAGCTAGTGATGACTCGTCTTTGTTTCCAATTTTCCCATTCCTATCACCAATAATTATCAATACATCTTAAATGCATGTTTGGTCAAGTTCAGACTGCAGAAGCTGCTAAAAAGCTTCAGTTTCTTCATCTTTGGTTCTAGTGGTTGGTGCATGACTTTGAGTGACACTAATTTTAACTGGTCTTCCTGTAGGCATAGGATCTTACTCTGTCACTGTCAGCATTGTACTTCAGGATAGATCTTGAAACATTCTTTTTGATGATGAATGCCATGTCATTTCTCTTCAATTTGTCACTCCTGGCATAGTAGATCATGTGATTGTCTGATTCCAAATGGCCAAAACCAGTCCATTTCAGCTTACTAATGCCTGGGATGTATTGATCTTTATATGCTCTATTTCATTTTTAACAACTTCCAACTTTCGTAGATTCATACTTTTCCTAGATTCATTGCACCTTTGGGCTCCTTAAAGAGAGGGAAACACAGAGACAGACAGAGAGAGAGAGAAGTTTAAAATCCCTTTTGGCCCTAACCCCCACCTTGGGGAGCTCACCCCAACCCCAGGCAACTCCTACTCACATATCAGAGCCCAGCCCAAGTGCTGCCTCCTCAGGGAAGCCCTCTTGATCACCCGACAAAGTTGTGTCTTGTTCTTGCTGTTTTCCTGAGTGGCCCTTATCATGGCCATAATCAAATTATTGAGGCATATGTGGTGCCTTCTTTCCCACGTTTTACAAATTGATGCCCAGAGAAGCTATTCTGTCATGCGCATGCCGTGGGGACCATCTGGTTCTTGCCTGGCTCCTGCCCCCAGTTTTGGGTTCTTTCTAAGTCGGTGTGTGCTCCTGAGTGGCTGTGGAGAATCCCCCCCAGAGTTTGTTTACTCACTGAACCCCCACCCACAAGCATTTGGCATCTTTCTAGCTCCCGTTATACACAGGCATGGGGCTGGCCTCCTGTGCCCACGAGTGGCGTCTGAGCCTTGAGTTGCCAGCTCACGGAATGTGGCCCTCACTCACGACACCTCGCCCACCAGTGCTGGCCGCCTGCTTCCTCAGCGTCGCTAGCATCTGTGCTGGCTTTTTTCAGATCTTCCCAAATAACGTGGGTGTTTCTCTGCTGAGCGGCAGAGCCCTCGGCGGTTCCTGGTGCCTGTGGGTCAAACTACAGGGCAGGCGTGTCGCTGTGCGCCCACTGGGCCACCTGGAGCTGCTGTGGTCAGGCCCCTTGCTTTTTCTTTGCAGTATGGGCTGCTCTGCCCCTAAATACCTTCTTGGCCCGCCTTCCCCATGTATCTGGCCCAGAACTCCTACCAGTACATCAGTGCCTCAGCTCCAACGTGCAGGGACTCTCCTACCACCCATCCGCCCCGTGAAGCACCTTCTCTCCCACCCAGGACTCCCCCAGCTCAGCCAGGACCACTCAAGGGAGGGCGAATCTGTGCCCTTCTGGGCAGACTGGAATCCGGGCTGACACCCCTCTGCCCGTCACCCACCTGCTGAGGCTGGGCCAGTGCCAGCACTCTTGCAGTCTACGACTTTCATCCTCACCCCAGCTTCATGAGGGAGCTCCTCTCCCTCTGCCCATTCTCCAGCTGGAGAGCCTGAGGCACAGGCGGGTGACTAGCTTGCCCAGGCACAGAGGACAGACCGAGGATTTGAACCTAGGCGTCTGTGAGGTAATGCCAGCATGTATATAAAGCAGGGATTGCAAACTGCGAGGCCCTGGAGCTGCCTTTGGCCCCAGCATGTAGTTAAGACCATGAACACACAGCACAGAGAGAAAGACAAGACAGATACCCTTCCCAGCCAGGGAGGACGCTTGCCTGTCCACTCGAGAGAAACGGACAGGAACCTACCCCAGCACCACTGCTTGCTGTCGCTCCTCCACCTAAGCATCTGACAGGGTGGGAGGCTGTGCTGGGAGGCTGAGTAGAGCCTCCCCGTCGCTCGGAGGCCACTGGCCCGGCCACGGCAGAACCTGGACGAGGTTCCTGGGAGACTGTGACCCGTGCCTGTAGTTGTGGCTTTTGAATCATGGGAATGGAAGCATAGCACACCTTGAAAACAGATTCAGGAATGAGCAAGCTGAGCCTGAAAGGGGCCCAGACAGAAGCAAGACTCCCCTGTGCGGCCTGCGGATCACAGGGCCCGGGGAGGGGCCGGCTACTGCTGCGGTCTGTTAAATGCGGGGATCTAGCACAAAAAGCAGATTCTTGGCTTCTTTTGAAAATGGGGGAGATCTGGCCCTGGGATTTGGGTTGGGGTGGGTGGCCACCCCTGCCCTGCTCATCCACGGTGTTCCTGGCTGGGAGCTTTTGCAGGTTTTACCCTTCATAAGACATGTAACCCAGGGCTGTGCACGTGGGGCACGTTGTCCTGGGGAGGACGGTGGCTGTGTGCCTGGCAGGGAGACGAGTGTGGGGAGGGGTCCAGGTAGATGCCCACCCCACTGTGCCCTCACATCTAGGGCCCCTTACCTTGGCTCCCTGCAGCTCATCCTACACCCCTCTCTGCGCCCCACCAGCCCAGCCAGGGGACGGCTACGTGCAAGCAGACAGCCGGGGCCCCCGAGACTACGAGGACCACCTGTACGTCAACACGCAGGGTCTGGACGCCCCGGAGCAGGAGGAGACAGTGCCCCCGCAGCCTGAGGACAGCCCCCAGAAGGACCTGTTTGACATGCGTATGTGGGGGAGGCCAGCTGGAGGGGTGGGGGGCCCACTGAGGGGGTGGCCTGTCTTGGTGGGGAGATCGGGGTTTGCGCCCAAAGAGTGGTCAGTCTGACAGAGAAGACCCCCCCATGCGACTCTGAGGTCTGATGGCGGCACAGCCCGCTTCTCTCTGGGGGATGCCATCTGATGGGGAGGTTCCACCTTCTGCCCTTGGGACTCACCGGATGGAGGGGCCCCGTCTGACGGTGGCCTGGGCTCTGCTCTACGAGTGGGGCATCTGACAGGAGCGGCTGTGCCATCTGATGGCGGCGCAGGCTGCTCCCGGAGACCCCTGTGCGATGGGGCAGCCTGTCCACGCCTTGACGCTCGCTGGCTACGGCGCTTATGCTGGCCACGGCGCTTATGCTGGCCAGAGCTCCCGAAGCAGCTCCCCTCACGCTGCCCATTGCACAGTGGGCGAGCCTAGTCTGATGGCAGAACTGTTCCTCCTTTCCCTGGGGGACGCCCCCGCCTGATGGGGTGCCTGTCCTTCCTCGTCTGAAGTGTCTAAACCACTCTCCTCATTTCACACATTGATGCCATCCTCCTCTGCTGTGGGTGTGTTGACTCCATGCTGGCCCGCAGGGGCCACCTCCCTCCCTCAAGACACCCCATTGACACCAAGTTCTTCTGTTACCTAAGCTAATATTAACATGACAACGACATGCATTCTAGCAGTACAATATTACTACTACCATGAAAACGTGGTATGAACACGATTATAACATGCATTAATAGTTATCCAGCACCCAGTAGGTACCAGGCACAAGTGTGTGGCCCCACACAAGGAGCAGAGATAAGCTCCATTCCTTGGGGGGTGAACAAGGGGCTCAGGGTGTAAGATTCCTTCCAAGGCAGGGTGCCTCCTTGGGTGATGAGATGGCCTGGTGACCTCAGTTGACCAAACCCAGCTGAGAGAGGCTACCCCTTGCCAAAAAGCAAACAAAAAAACCCCCCAAACTCACTGCCATTGAGTCGATTTGGACTCACAGCGACCCCTCTTTGGTTTCTGAGGTGATGTCTCTGTGGAAGTAGATTGGCCAGTCTTCCTTCTGAGGAGTGGCTGGTGGGTTTGAACCACCAGGCTTCTGGTTAGCAGGCAGATGTCTTAGGCACTGCGCCACAACAGTTGTTGCCAGTCTCCATTAAAAACCCTGGGGTTGCCTCTGATTCGCTCAGCCTGGTCATGTGCTCACCCCGGAACAGTTCTTTGGGCAGGAGGGTAAGACGACTGTGTTGATTGGCTAGAGCTGGCCACATGTCTGTGGGTGCTGGAGGCTGATCCGCCTCACCTGCACCACTGGAGGGAGGTTCCAGAGGACGCACCTTCAGGATCAGGAGCTGGGCGAGCGTCCAGGGGCCCGAACTAGACTCAGCTCCCAGAGAGCAAAGGGCAGGGCAGGGGTTGTGTCTGTCACTCACAGTGTCTGAAGGATGATGTCCCTGCCTCCAGCAAATCTGTCCCCCACACCCCCATCACAAACACGGGCTGAGGCTCAGAGAGGAGGAGCCGGGGGGGCCTCCTCAGGATGTCAGAAACCTGCAGCAAATGTAATGGGAGTGGTAAAACATGGAAAGCCTTTCTGTTACGAGTCGGAAACAAGAAAGATGCCCACTACCACGAGTACGTAGCATTGTACTAGGGTCCTGGCCAACGTGGTAAGACAGGAACATGGAGGAAGAGACAGGAACCCTGAGAGGAAGCCAGTGTAGCATGCCAAGAGAGACAGCTGCATGTAAGATGCTGCACTGCTGGCCTGTCAGGTGCCCTCGGGTCGGCTCTGAGCCGCAGCCACGCCGGGTACAGCAGAACCGAACACTGCCCGCTGCTGCCCCATCCCCAGCGGCTGCTAGTGTCAGGCCGTGCCGAGGGCCTGCCTCTTGTTTGCCGACCCTCCACTTTTCTAAGCATGATGTCCTTCTCCAAGGACTGGCCCCTCCTGAGAGCATGTCCAAAGCACGTGACAAAGTCTCACCGTCCTTGCTCCTCAAGAGCATCCTGGCGCCCTTGGAAGACAGCTTTGTTCTCTGGGCACTTCCCGGTGCGTTCAGTGTTCTTCACCGACACCGTGATTCAAAAGCACCAGTCCCTTCTCAGTCTTCTCTACTCACTGTGAGCTTCTCAATGCATTTGAGGCAACTGAAAATACCATGGCTTCGGTCAGGTGCACCTTAGTCATCCAAGTGCCACCTTTGCTTTCTACCACTTTAAAGAGGTCTTCTGCGGCACATTAGCCAAGCACAACACACCGTTTGATCTCTTGACTGCTGCTCCCGTGGGTGCTGATCATGGAAACAGGTAAAATAAAGTCCTCGGCACCTTCAGTCTCTTCTCTGTTTATCATGATGCTCCTTATTGGTCCGGTCAATTCCTGGAGCCTTGTTTTTTTGCCAATTTGTTCAGTGCAGGTTGGACTTCTTCCTCCAACACCATTGGTTCCCGGTCATATGCCGCCTGCTGAAATGGATGAACGCGGGCCAGTTCTCTCTGCTACAGTGGCTGTGTGTCTTTCCATCTTCACCCAATGCTTCCTGCATTGCTCTATACTTTGCCCGTAGAATCCTTCAATGTTGCAACTTGGGGCTGGAAAGTTTCCTTCAGTTCTTTTAGCTTCACAAACCTCAGCGTTCCTCCCACTTGGTTTTCTAACTCCAGGTCTTTGTACCTTTCACTGTAACAATGGACTTTGTTTTCTGAGCTGCTCTTTGAAATCTGTTCCTCATTTCTTCCATTTCCCTTAGCCACTCTCTTCCACTCAAGAGCAAGTTTCAGGGTCTCTTCTGATACCTATTTTGGTCTTTTTTCCTCCCCCTCTTTTTCCGGGGGGACTCTGTGGGTTTTAGTCATGAACATCCCACACTCTCAAGGCTAACAGCATTTTCCAAGCGGTCCATGAGAACGACCTGCCTGGCCCTCCCAGGTCCCGCCAGAGGTAAGGCTCTCAGGTTCTCCTAACGGAGAGAGCCTCAAAGGATCGTGTCCTGGGCTCTGGGTGGAGCCGGAACCTCTCTTCCCACGAACACCCACAAGTTCCCTCTTGGTGAACTGGCCAGTGTCTCTGCTTGAACGCAGCTGCCTCCTGGCCGCTCTTCTCCCCCATAGGACCACTCAAGGTCTCCCGCACCAGACGATAGCTGGGGCCTTCTGTCTCCCCATGGCTGCTTCTCCAGGCAGCTTGGCCTGGGCAAAAGAGGGGGACACTGTGCTTGATGAGTGAGCATGAGGGCAGCAAGGGGCCTCCAGGCCCACGCGTGTGTCAGATGAGCCAGCGGGCCTGGAAGCGCGGCCTGACAGCCGAGGCAGGGCCGGCTCCCTTTCTGGGCAGCTGCTACCCCATCGTCTTTGGGACGGAGGGCCAGCCACACCCAGTGCCCCAGGGACCTTGGCGCTAGGAGAGCCGTGCAGTGCCTCGGGCCAGGCTGCTGAGGTGTCTGTCTGACCCAGAAGCTGCTGCAGGTGGGCCCGCCCAGCCCCGCTGGCTGCACGCAGACACAGCCCGGGAATGCGCGGCACAGTGGCTCCCGCTCAGCCGCAGCCTGGTCCGACGGTGCACGCCCCGGAAGCTCCGTGCAGGGGCTGCCGACCTGGAACCCGGCTGCTCCAGGCTGGAGAAGGCAGAGAACTGGGCTTGTGCGGGCATCTTGGCCAGAGTTTTTTCTTCTCCTTGCCTTGCCGGATCTCTGGACCCACACACAGCAGCTGCTGCCCCTGCTGTCTTGAGCCAACGACCAGGAACATGTCCCTGTCTGCGTTGTGAGCCAAGGACCAAGAATGTGTCCCTGCCTGTGGTTCAGGAGTCCTTCAGGACGGAAGCTCCTCCAGGACATCGGGTGCGCGTGAGGGCGGCTGTGCCCCCCGTCCGTACCTGTGTGAAGCTGACAGAGCACACAGCTGGGGCTCAGACACACCCGAGGACGCCATCTCCACACGGCTCTGCCTCCCTTGACACCTGAGCCTCCTTCCTTCTCTCTTCAAGGACAGTTTGTTTCCTTCATGGATGATGTCCTTGGTGTCATCCCACAAGTCATCTGGTCTTCAGTCATGAGTATGCAGAGTGCCACATCTGTTCTTGAGATGGCCTCTAAGGTCAGGCATATAGTCAAGGCTGTACTTGGGCTCTCATGGACTTGTTCAGCTTCAACTTGAGGCTGCTTACAGCAGCTGATGGTCTGTTCCAGTCAGTTCCCGGCCTTGTCTCACCGGGCACTGAGCTTCCCCATGGTTTCTCTGCACAGATGGAGTCGATCTGATCCCTGTGTATTCCATCTGGCGCCGGCCACCATTCTCGGGTGTCACTTCTATCACCATGGCCGTATTTTCCAATTACTGATAATTCTGTTTCCAACTTTCGCATTCCAATCACCAGTAATTATCGATGCATCTTGATTGAATGGTCAATTTCAGACTGCAGCAGTTGGTAAAAATGTTCCATTTCTTCATCTTTGGCGTTAGTGGTAAGTACATTATTTGCATATACTTACAAAATCGGACAGAAAGTACTGAATAATCAGTTGAGGCCGTGAGACTCTGGGCCAAGCGCCTGGGTTCTCCGTGAGCAGGCGCCCAGCGCGGGCTGAGCTCAGTGCAGGGCTACTTTACGGCAGGTGTCAGTGTCGTGGTAACTTGAGGAGGGAGCGTGAGGTGACCCTCCCAGGCCCGGCCCTGCCCAGCTCAGGGCTCCGCCTGCCCCCAGGCCCTTGCCCGGCAGGAGTCCACCGCCCAGACCCGCCTACCTCCCCAGCTCTCCTGTCCTGCGCCCTGCAGGCCCCTTCGAGGACGCCCTGAAGCTCCACGAGTGCTCGGTGGGGGCGGCGCCCCCTGCCTTGGAGGACCAGTGGCCCAGCCCCCCCACCCGCCGCGCTCCCATCGCCCCCACAGAGGAACAGCTGCGGCAGGAGCCCTGGTACCACGGCCGGATGAGCCGTCGGGCGGCAGAGAAACTGCTTCGAGCCGATGGAGACTTCCTCGTTCGCGATAGCGTCACCAACCCCGGGCAGTACGTGCTGACCGGCATGCACCTGGGACAGCCCAAGCACCTGCTGCTAGTGG